CAGGAGCCAAGATGGCATGGGTTAGGACTGCTTGCCTGTCACATTAGGGCCACAGAGAGCAGTTACTGATAAGAAAAGGTAAGCAGCTTTACATAGTTTTGAAGACAAACTGGCAGTTCTATTTACAGAGGCCAAGGACAGTAGTTATTGTGAGGAGAATGGGGCAGCCATTTCAACTTATCTAAAAACAGTTTTGCATTTTATAAAATAGTTTTGCTCTGGTTCTGGCTCTAGGCCAGCACCATATCACAACAGGGGATACTTTAATCTAGAGGATATGTAATCTGTCCTCAAGGAGAGTTGATGTAAACCTGGAGAAATCTGTGTGTGTCTGTGTAGAAGCCATGCCTACAAGTAAGATAGAATGTGCTAAATTCTACTAGAGGAATACTGAGAGTCTAGAGTGCACAAAAACTTTCTTCTTTTGGGGAATGTGAAGATATTCTGTAGTGTAGAGGTCGTTCTTCACCCATGCCGTAGCATAATGTAAACTAGACATGGTGCTAAGTGTCTAAAAATGTTTCCTTTGGTTCCCACTTTGATGAGATAGTTATAGAGGAGGACACTGGCCAAGGAAGGTTAAGCCATTTGCCCAAAGACAGCAGCACCAAGATGGGCGCCCCAAGTTGCCTGCCACTAGACCCTGAATGTTCAGTGCTCACTTGTGAAGCACCAGGTGAGGAGAGGCTGTGTGAAATGAGCATTTAGAGCCATGGGAAGCCTCTAATGCAGCTGTGCCAGGGAATGATGGAGTAAGAGCCAGCCTGGGGCTCTACCTGAAGGATGTGTGGGCAGTGTAGAGATGAGTTATGAGGCTAGAGCCCTAATCCAGGCTGGAGGAAGTGGCCTCGTACAAGGGGAATAAAAGGAGGAGGCAGTCTTGAGAGGTATCAGCTTCTTAGGATATTGTGAGACTAAGAGTCTAACAGGGAATATTCCTTATCATGGAGTATTCTTGGGCCAGAACTGGCTGACAGAACCTATCAGGCCAATTTAGTGGAGCAGACTATTCTGGATGAGGATCCTAACCTAGCTGTGCTCTGGCATGTTACCGTTTAGCAGTTAGTTAACATCTCTGTGCCTGAGTTTCTTACTGTATAGAAGGGGTTAGTTAATTCTAGTTCCTACCTCATAAGGTTGTTGAGTAGATTAAATGAGTTAAAACAGTGCCCATTACAGAAGAGGATGTGTTTGTTGATTGACTATATCCTTTGAAAGAAAGGTACTATTGTTACCATTAATTAAATATACTAAGATGCTGAGATACATCTGTGCTAGTTGGGATTGAAAATAGTGTGAATATAAGCTGTGTAATGAAAAGCTAATTCTTCCACTTCTACTTTATTTTTTGAGACGGGATCTCACTGTGTCACCCAGGCTGGAGTACAGTGGTGTGATCACAGCTTACTGCAGCATTGACCTCCTGGGCTTAAACAATTCTCCTGTTTCAGCCTCCCCAGTAGGTGGGACTACAGATGTACACCACTGCGCCCGGCTAAGCTTTGAATTTTTGCAGAGACAGGGTTTCACCATGTTGCCTAGGCTGGTCTTGAACTGGGCTCAAGGTCTACCTTGGCCTCCCAAAGTGCCAGGATCACAGGTGTGAGCTGCTGTGCCTGGCCCCAATTCTACTTTAGTCTGTTATTTTATTTTAGTCTTTGACAGCCTTTTACCACGTGAAGTCAAAAAGATGAGTTGGCTTATACTCATTCTCTTGGTTAATATTCTCTTTTTAGTGGAAGAACTAAAGAGCCAAGAAGGTAGGAGGGAGAGAAGATCTGCAGATCACTGTTAGTAAAATGGGAGAGCTTGCCCTTGGTGATAATGCAAACAAACCCAGAGCCTTGGGAGGAAAGGGCTCAAATGTGGGTGTGATATAAGTGAATTTCTTGCATTGCCCACTAGATGGCACTCTTGCTCCTGGTTAGACCTTTCTTGGCTTATTAAGATTCTGAGATGTCCTCTGTAAGGAGATTTTCCTCATATGTGATCCTTGAAACAAAAGTGTGTAGAAGCTGCATCCTAGAGAAGTTCAGAGTTTTATTAGGAACTTAGAGTGAGGAAAATGATAAAAGAAGCTAGCTATTATATAATGCGATATCTACAGGATGATCAGAGTGGTTTGCTGTATCTTTTCTCATTTTCTCTTTTCCTGATTGAGTCCATTAGACTCATGGCTGGACCAATATCAGGAGAAGAGAAGCAGGGTGAGTTTCCCTGTTTATACCTGTTTCCATGTGCATTTCATATGCAGTATGTGAGGGTGCTTAGAGAACAACTCTCTTGGATGTTTTGTTGGGTTCCACCCAGAGCAGAGTGACTCTCTATTGAAGGGCCAGGGCTATTGGAGTTCTTTCCTTTAGGTTCACATTTAGCATCCTCTGTCCTTTCCACTGTATTTTATTGGGGAGTTGGGGGAGGCCAGTCACACACAGTATCTCAGTAATTTAAAGAGAAGTTGCTCTAAAGTGTTACCTTAGACTGCTGCTCATTCATCTCTGCTCTTTAATCTTTAAAGCCTTTTCAGAACCTGGTTTGACTCTCTTTTGGATCAGTGGAACCTTTCTCCTTATATTGCGGACATTTTGAAAAAAATGGGTTTCGAGTGGCTACTTTGCTTATCTTTGGAAGGATCCAGTTGCATAGGCACAGTTTGGCGCTGGGGACCTTTATTTATGTTCAGCAGCTCTTTGCTCTATCTTTTGGCTTTTTGTTGCTGGATCGTTACTCGATCTTATTTGTTCTATTTGTTTATTGGGAGCTGTCTTTAGAGTTTTTAAATTTTTAAAATTTTTCAATAGTTGTTGGGAAACAGGTGATTTTGGCTACATGGGTAAGTTCTTTAGTGGTGATTCTGAGATTTTGTTGCACCCATCACCTGAGCAGTGTACACTGTACCCAATGTGTAGTCTTTTGTTCCTCATCCCACTCCTACCCTTCCCCCCAAGTCCCCAGAGTCCGTTATATCATTCTTATACCTTTGTATCCTTATAGCTTAGATCCCACTTAAAAGTAAGAATATACAATGTTTAGCTTTCCATCTCTGAATTACTTCACTTAAAATAATGGTCTCCAACTCCATCCAGGTTGCTGTGAATGCTATTATTTCATTCCTTTTTATGGCTGAGTAGTATTCAGTGGTGTGTGTGTGTGTGTGTGTGTGTGTGTGTGCATGTGTGTGTGTATGTATATCTAGATATACACCACATTTTCTTTGTCCACTTGTTGGTTGATGGGCATTTAGATTGGTTCCTTATTGTTGGAATTGCAAGTTATGCTGCTATAAACGTGTGTACAAATGTCTTTTCATATAATGATTTCTTTTCTTCTGGGTGGATACCCAGTAGTGGGATTGCTGGATCAAATGGTAGTTCTACTATGAGTTCTTTAAGAAATCTCCACACTGTTTTCTACAGTGGTTGTACTAGGTTACATTCCCACCAGCAGTGTAGAAGTATTCTCTTTTCACTGCATCCATGCCAACATGTATTATTTTTTGATTTTTTGATTATGGCCATTCTTGTGGGAGTAAAGTGGGATTGCTTTGTGGTTTTGATTTGCATTTCCCTGATCATTAGTGATATTGAGCATTTTTTCATCATGTTTGTTGGCCATTTGCATATCTTCTTTTGAGAACTGTATATTCATGTCCTTAGCCCACTTTTTGATGGGGTTTTTTCTTGCTAATTTGTTTGAGTTCCTTGTAGGTTCTAGATATTCATCCTTTTTCAGATGTATAGATTGTGAAGATTTCTCCCACTCTGTGGGTTGTCTGTTTACTCTGCTGACTGTTGCTTTTGTCTTGCAGAAACTCTGTAGTTTAATTAAGTCCTACCTATTTATCTTTGTTTTTGTTGTATTTGCTTTTGGGTTCTTGGTCATTAAATCTTTGCCTAAGCCAATGTTTAGAAAGGTTTTTCCAATGTTATTTTCTAGAGTTTTTATAGTTTCAGGTCTTCAGTTTAAGTCTTTAATCCACCTTGGATTTTTTTTTGTATGAGATAACAGATGAGGATCCAGCTACATTCTTCTGCATGTGACTTGCTGATTATCCCAGCACCATTGTTGAATAGGGTGTCCTTTCCCCTCTTTATCTTTTTGTTTGATTTGTTGAAGATCAGTTGACCATATTTCGCTTTATTTCTGGCTTTTCTATTTGATTCCATTGGTTAGTATGCCTGTTTTTATACCAGTACCATGCTGTTTTGGTGACTATGACCTTATATTGTAGTTTGAAGTCAGATAATGTAGTGCCTCAAGATTTCTTCTTTTTGCTTAGTCTTGCTTTGGCTATGCGGGCTCTTTGTTGTTTCCATATGAATTTTAAGATTTTTTTTTTCCCTAATTCTGTGAAGAATGATGGTGGTGTTTTGATGGGAATTGCATTGAATTTGTGGATTGTTTTTGGCAGTACATGGTCATTTTCACAATATTGATTCTATTCATCCATGAGCATGGGATGGGTCCCATTTCTTGGAGTTTTTTTCAGCAGTGTGTTGTAGTTTTCCTTGTAGAGATCTTTCACCTCCTTGGTTAGGTATATTCCTAAGTATTTTATTTTTGCAGCTATTGTAAAAGGGGTTGAGTTCTTTATTTGATTTTCTGCATGGTGGTGGTTGTTATGTAGCAGTGCCGCTGATTTGTGCACATTAATTTTGTATCCTGAAACTTTACTGAATTCATTTATCAGATCTAAGACCTTTTTGGATGAGTCCTGAGGGTTTTCTAGGTATATGATCATATTATTAGTGAACAGCGACAGTTTGACTTTCTCTTTACTGATTTGGATGCCCTTTCTTTGTCTTGTCTGATTGCTCTGGCTAGAACTTCAGTAGTATGTTGAATAGAAGTGATGAAAGTGGGCATCCTTGTCTTGTTCTGGTTCTCAGGGGGAATGCTCTCAACTTCGCCCTTTCAGTATAATACTGGTTGTAGGTTTGTCATAGATAGCTTTCATTACCTTTAGGTATGTCCCTTCTGTGCCGATTTTGCTGACAGTTTTAATAGTAAAGGGATGCTGGATTTTGTCATATGCTTTTTCTTCATCTATTGAGATGATCATATGCTTTTTGTTTTTAATTGTTTATATGTGTATCACGTTTATTGACTTGCATATGTTAAACCATCCCTGCATCCCTGGTATGAAACCTACTTGATCATGATGTATTATCTTTTTGATATGCTGTTGGATTTTGTTAGCTAGTATTTTGTTGAGGATTTTTGCATCTGTGTTCATCAGGGATATTGGTCTGTAGTTTTCTTTTTTTGTTACGATCTTTCCTGGTTTTGACATAAGGGTAATGCTGCCTTCATAGAATGACTTAGGGAGGATTCCCCCTTTTTTCATCTTTTGGAATAGTTTCAGTACTATTTTCAAAAAATTGGTACCAATTTTTTGAATGTCTGATAGAATTCAGCTGTGAATCTACTTGGTTCCGGTCTTTTTCTGTTGACTGTTTGTTATATTACTCTTTCAGTATCGCTGCTTGTTATTGATTTGTTCAGAGTTTCTGTTTCTTCCTGCTTTAGTCTAGGAGCGTTGTATATTTCCAGATTTTCTAGTTCATGCAAAATAAAATGTTCATGAATGATATTTCTGTGGTTATAATATCTCCCATTTCATTTGTAATTGAGCTTATTTGGATTTTCTCTCTTCTTTTCTTGGTTAATCTTGCTAATGGTCTGTCGATTTTGTTTTTCTTTTCAAATAACCAGCTTTTTGTTTCATTTGTCTTTTGTATTTTTTGCTTGTTTTAATTTCATTTAGTTCTGCTCTTGGTTATTTCTTTTCTTCTGCTGGTTTTGAGTTTGGTTCGTTCTTGTTTCTCTAGTGCCTTGAGTTGTGACCTCAGATTGTCTATTTGTGCTCTTTCAGACTTTTTGGTGTAGGCATTTAAGGCTATGAGCTTTCCTCTTAGCACTGCTTTTGCTGTATCCAAGAGGTTTTGATAGGTTGTATCACTATTATTATTAAGTTCAAATAATTTTTAAATTTCCATCTTGATTTCATTGTTGACCCAGAGAACATTCAGGACCAGATTATTTAATTTCCATGTATTTGTATAGTTCTGAGGGTTCCTTTTGGAGTTGATTTCCAATTTTATTCCAGTTATGTCTGTGAGAGTACTTGATATAATTTAGCTTTTCTTAAATGTATTGAGACTTGTTTTGTGGCCTCTCATATGGTCTGTGTTATAGAGTGTTCCATGCTGATGAAAAGAATATAAATTCTGTAGTTGTTAGGTGAAATGTTCTATAGATATCTCTTAAGGCCATTTGTTCAGGGTGTAGTTTTTTTGTTGACTTTCTGTCTTGGTGACCTGTTTTGTGCTGTCAGTGGAGTATTGAAGTCTCCCACTATTACTATGTTGCCGTCTATGTCATTTCTTAGGCCTAGTAGTAACAGTTTTATAAATTTGGGAGTTCTAATGTTAGGTGAATATATATTTAGGATTGGACTAAATATAGTTCGACTTATCCTTTTATCCTGTTGGACTAATCATTTTATCATTATATAATGTTCCTCTTTGTCTTTTCTGTTTTTCCTACCCCTTTACAGTAAGCTTATGTGAATCCTTATGTGTTAGGTGAGTCTCTTGAAGACAGCAGATACTTGGTTGGTGGATTTTTCTGCACCCTGCCATTGTGTATCTTTTTTTTTTTTGAGATGAAGTTGCACTCTTGTCGCCCAGGCTGGAGTGCAATGTCATGTTCTTGGCCCACTGCAACCTCTGCGTCTTGGGTTCAAACAATTCTCCTGCCTCAGCCTCCCAAGTAGCTTGGATTACAGGTACCCACCACCACACCCAGCTAATTTTGTTGTATTTTTAGTAGAGACAGGGTTTTGCCAGTGTTGGGCAGGCTGGTCTCGAACTCCTGACCTCAGGTGATCAGCCTGCCTTGGCCACCCAAGGTGCTGGGATTACAGGAGTGAGCCACTGTGCCCAGTTCATTATGATCTTTTAAGTAGAGCATTTAGGCCATTTATGTTCAGCGTTAATATTGAGTTGTGAGGTACTGTTCTATTCATCATGATAGTTGTCTCCCGGATACCTTTTTTTTTTTTTTTTGCATTGTGATATTGTTTCATAGGCCCTGTGAAGTTTATGCTTTAAGGAGGTTCTTCTATTTAGGTATATTTTGACAGTTTTTGTTTCAAGATTTAGAACTCATTTTAGCATTTCTTGTAGTGCTGGCTTGGTAGTGGCAAATTCCCTCAGCAGTTGTCTGAAAATGACTGTATCTTTCCTTCATTTGTGAAGCTTAGTTTCACTGGATACAAAATTCTTGGCTGATAATTAGTTTAAGGAGGCTAAAGATAAGACCACAATCCCTTCTGGCTTGTAGGACTTCTGCTGAGAAATCTGCTGTTAATTTAGTGGGCTTACTTTTATAGGTTACCTAATGCTTTTGCCTCACAGCTTTCAAGATTCTTTCCTTCTTACTTTAGATGACTTGATGACTATATGCCTAGGTGGTGATCTTTTTGCAACGAATTTCCTGAGTGTTCTTCAGGCTTTTTAATTTGGATGTCTAGATCTCTAGCAAGACCAGCAAAGTTTTCCTCAATTATTCCCTCAAATAGGTTTTCCAAACTTTTTGATTTCTCTTCTTCCTCAGGAACATCAGTTATTCTTATGTTTGGTTGTTTAACATAATCCCAAATTTCTTGGAGGCTTTGTCCATTTTTTTGATTCTTTTTTCTTTTGTCTTTGTTGGATTAGGTTAATTTGAAAGCCTTGTCTTTGAGCTTTGAAGTTCTTTTTTTCTACTTGTTCTAGTCCGTTGTTGAAATTTCACAGTGGATTTTGCATTTCTCAAGTGTGTCTTTCATTTCCAGAAGTTTGTCTTTTCTTTATAATATCTGTTTCTCTGGAGTCTTCAAATTTTTTTTTAAATTGTTTTTCACCTTTCTCTGGTACTTCCTTGATTAGCTTAATAATCAACCTTTTGAATTCTTTATCTGGCAATTCAGAGATTTCTTCTTGGTTTGGATTTGTTGCCGGAGAGCTGGTGTGATCTATTGGAGGTGCTATAGAACCTTGTTTTGTCATATTACCATAATTCGTTTTCTGATTTCTTCTCATTTTGGTAGACTATTTAATTGGAAAGATCTAGAACCCAAGGGCTGCTGTTCAGATTATTTTGTCCAATGGGGTGATCCCTTGATGGGGTGCTCTTCCTCTAAGGATAAGGCTTCTTGAGAGCTAAACTGCAGTGGTTGTGCCCTTCTGGGTATAGCCACCCAATGGGGCTACTGGGCTCCAGGCTGGTGCTGGGGAATGTCTGCAGAGAGTCCTGTGATGTGATCTATCTTTAGGTCTCTGAGCTGTGGATACCAGCCCCTGCTTTGGTGGAGGTGGCAGGAGAGTGAAGTGGATTCTGTAGGAATCCCTGGTTGTATTTTTGTTTAGTACACTGGTTTTCTTGAATGCTGATTTATGCTAGCAGTGAAGCTGTCATGTGGACAGACTCAGGATCTCTGGTTAACAAAGATGTTGCAGGCGATGGAATTAGCTGTTGTTTTCCCCTTCTTTGGAGCAGGGTTGTTCTGTTATGAGTTTCTGTAATGGCTTGAGTTGGTTGGCCTTCAGTGAGGAGGTGGTGCTTTCAAGAAAGCATCAGCTGCGGTAGTATGGTGAGGATACAAGCTTGTCCTACGTTGGCCAGGTTAAGTATTCGGGTTTCTTAGGTGATAGGAAGGGCCATAGAACTCCCAAGAGTTTATGTCTTTTGTCTTTGGCTACCAGGGTGGGTAGAGAAAAACCATCAATTTGGGGCAGAGTTAGGTGTGTCTGAGTCAGACTCTGCTTTGGCGGGGCTTGCTGTGGCCACTGTAGGGGATTCAGGGTGGTTCTCAAGTCAATGGCATTATGTTGCCAGGGCGATTTGCCTCTTCTGTCTCATGTAGCCTGCCAGGGAAGTAGGGGAAAGCCAGCAGTGACAGGCCTCACCCAGCTGCCACACAGCCAGCAAGGCCAGTTTCACTCTCATCATGCCCTGCATTTATATCCACCATGGTGAGCAGGGCTGAGATCTTGACCCAGGCTACAAGCCTCCCTGCTGAGAAAGCAAGCAGGCCTCTCAGGCCTTGCCCCTCCCTACCTGCCTTTACCTTCGACTGTGGCTTCTGCACTTCTATCGCACATCCCATTTGCCTTCCACTGGATTCTGCTCAGGAAAATTTTTGCTCAGTTGAAATTATTATGGAGCTCAGCTAGAAGCTTCCTTTACCCTGTGGCCCCTCCCAAATTCTGCTGGCTGACTTTTCTTCCCCAAGGACCCCTGTGAGTTAAAGCCAGAGATGACTTCCCTGGGCTCGAGCTGGGGACCAGGAGTGTCCACAGGGCTCTTCCTGCTGTTGCTTCCACTTTTATAGTTTGCTCAGCTCTCTAAATCCATTTAGGCTCTAGGTAAGGTTAAATCCTTCTCCTGTGATCTGAATTTTTCAGGTTCCCCAGCAGGGATGTTTGTTCAGAGGCAGACTTTTTCCCCTCTCACACTTTGGGAGCTCACACTTTTTTGGCTGTCTTGTGGAGTTTGCAGCAGCAAGCCACTTCTTTCAAAGGGTTTGTGAATTCTTTTTTTTTTTTTTTTTTTTTTTTTTTTGAGACGGAGTTTCGCTCTTGTTACCCAGGCTGGAGTGCAATGGCGCGATCTCGGCTCACCGCAACCTCCGTCTTCTGGGTTCAGGCAATTCTCCTGCCTCAGCCTCCTGAGTAGCCGGGATTACAGGCACGCGCCACCATGCCCAGCTAATTTTTTGTATTTTTAGTAGAGACGGGGTTTCACCATGTTGACCAGGATGGTCTCAATCTCTTGACCTCGTGATCCACCCGCCTCGGCCTCCCAAAGTGCTGGGATTACAGGCTTGAGCCACCGCGCCCGGCCTGGGTTTGTGAATTCTTTTGGTTTTCCTGGTATGTTCCTGTGGTGGTTCTTGGAGCAAATGTTCACAGTGTGAGTCTCTACATGCTGTTCTGTCCATCCAAGGAGGGGCTGCACATTAGTCCTGTCCCTATCTGCCATTTTCCTGGAAGTTTTCGTTCTATTTATCCTTTTGAATTTATGTAGTTTAAAATTATGAGTTAAACAGTGGCAAGTCTTGCTCGTCACTTTTCTGACCAACTAGTTACCCTGTCTGGAGGCAGGCAGTGCTACCAAAATTGTGTGGCCTTTGAACAGTCTTTCATAAACACACATATTGCAACTCCTCCCACCCCACCCCTTTTTACACTAGTGGTAGCATGCTTTATACATGTTCTGTTTTCTGTTTTGCTTATCTTGGAGATTATTACTTACTGGCTTACAAAGAGCTTCCTTGCTCCTTTTTTTTTTCCTCAATAACTGCATGTATTTCACTTTAGCTATATAACATCATTACTAAACTGGATCACCACTAGTGGTCATTTATGTTTGCAAATTTTTGCTAGCAGAGAATCACTGGTTGAAAGGATTAATGTGTCTGTGCTTTTTGTTAGATGGAACCAAATTGCCATCCGTAGCTTGTATTCACTTACCCTTCTACCAGCAGTGTGGGCAGGTGTCTGTTTCACTGCTACCTGGTTCATCATACCTTTTCTCTTACAGTTAAAGTGTTATGTCATTGAAGTATGTGTGTATATGTAAATATTTTTGGTAAAGGCTGTGTGTAGTTGTTTTCATTTCTGAATCATATTCCATCATCTGTATGTGTGTGAAAAAAAGTTTATATCTCTATTCTACTCTATTATTTTTTTCTTTTTCTTTCTTTTTTTGGAGACAAAAACTTGCTCTGTCACCCAGGCTAGAGTATAGTAGCATAATCATGGCTCACTGCAACCTCTGTTCCTGGGCTCAGGTGATCCTGCCACCTCAGTCTCCTGAGTAACTGGGACTACAGGCACGTGCCAGCATGCTTGGCTAATTTTTGTGTTTTTTTTTTTTTTGTAGAGCTGCCATCTCTGTGCTATGTTATTCAGGCTGGTCTAGAACTCCTGGGTTCCATCAATTCCATCTGGAGCTCCATCAGACTCCTGGGATTATAGGCAAGAGCCACCATACCCAGCCTCTGTTCTACTCTCAATGGACATTTGGATTTTATCAGTTTGTAGCTAATAGGAAAAGTGCCACTATGAACATCTTATACATATCTTTTGATGACCATATATACATATGCCTAACAGTTGTATATCTAGGAATAGAATTGTTAAGTGGTTAGATATGAATATATTCAGCTTTGGAAGATGTACTCACAACATTTTCAGAGTGGTTTTGCCAGCTCAGCCTCCACTGTCAATGGGTATGAGTGTCTTTGCATCCCAGCTGAATTTCATTACACTCACTCTGGTGGGTGTGTAGTGGTATCTTGTAATGTTAATTTGTATTTCCTTTCAGCAAATGAATTTGAACATCTTTTAAAATGTTTATTGGCCATTTTGGATAGCTTCTTTTGTGAGGTACTTGTTCAAGTCTTTTGTCTGTTTTTCTATGGGGATTCTGTCTTTTCCTTGATTATAAGTTTATATTTTTGATGTGTGTTTTTTGTCAAGTACTATGCTTTGCAAATATCTCCTCCCCCTCTCAGGAAATCTTTCAAGGCTGATGGTGTGATTGAAAATAACTGGTAGTGGGGCTCCTTGGTTGCATTAGTCATGGAGGATCTCTAGAGGATGACTTGCCATCTGATATGTCTGAATGACAGTGACGAGCCATTGAAGTGCTTGATGATGACTTGTCCAGGCAGAGGGAACAGCATGAACAAAGCCCAGGGAAGGACAAAGCTTGGCATGTTTGGGTACAGAAAGAAAGCCAAGGTGGGGGGGAAGAAAGAGGTGGCAAGAAGAAATAAAGATAATCAGAATCTCTTTTCATTGCTCTGTGGGAGAGAAAGGCTTTAGATTTGTCATTCATCCAGTGCTGTGTATGACAGTTGCTTCTCGTGACTCTGTGGTCTTTGAGTCTCTTTTGCTTTGGGAGACTGAAACATAATGTTTCTTTCTGTCCTTTGTCCTGCAGGTGTGGTGGACACAGGCCTATTCATCAACATGGCTGAGAGAGTCTACTTCGGGATGCAGGATGGCTCAGTTAACATGAGGGAGAAGCCTTTCTCTTGACCCTGCGAGGAGCAGAGTGTGTTCATCTTGAGTTTCCAGCCCACAGCCAAGGTGGATGTACCTCTCCAGGAGCCTTTGCCTTAATGTATCTCTGCCAGGGTGGAAAACTGGTTGTGAGGGACGGGGTGGGGGAGTGGGAGGGGGAGTTAAATCCAGTCTTATGAAGTATTGTTATTAAATGTCTTTTTAAAAAGAGAAATATAAACATATATTTTTACTATTAAACTATTCAGTTTTTTAAATAAAGTAGAACTTGATTTCATGTTTTATATGAAACATTTATAAAAAAAAAAAAAAGGAGAGGTGGACTGTCTTTAAAACCGTTGACTTGAGTCTGCTGGTAAAGTTTCTGAATATTGGGTTTGCTGAGATATAAAAATCAAAACTTCTTTAAGCTGATAAAATGAGGGGCTCAGCCAGCAGTGATTTCCTGATGCCTTACTGGAAACTTTGTTTACTTGTCTGCTATTTTCTGTTTTGTTTTTAGTTTTCACTGTGAGCACACATCATACCTGGTTACATCTTAAGATCACGTTTACAAAACTGTGGAGTGGAGCGGGGTAGTATGGAATGACTTGGGAATGTAAACTATTGGGGAGAAAATGTGGTTATACTTTTGCTAAGATCTGGGGGTTTCTTCATATCCCTACTGTTGGAAGAAATTGATCAGAAATGCTTGCCAGTACTGCCAAAGCACTGCTGTGAAATGTGAAGTACTTGTTTTTTTTTTTTAAATGATTTACTTTCTGTTGTTAATATTTTTCTCTGTTACTTCTTGCATGGTTTGGTGTCAGAAGTCCTTACCTCTTTATATTGTTTGCAGGTTGAAATAAAACAGTGTGGTGCCATTTTGACTCTTTTGTCTTTACTTTAGAATTGGAATTTAAATGGCCACAGAAGGAAAGCCAAGACAGAGGGGAATCAGTTTTGCCCACCCAGTGTATATCAGATCTGTATGGGGTGGAATTCACTCAAGAAATCTTGAACCAAAGAATAGGTAAATGTTTCCATTATTTCTGGGAAAGCTATCTTCCAGATATGTCAGTTATTTAAGGAAATATGCTATAGCCCTTTGTCAGGCAAGGTATTAATTTTCTTGTTCATGAAGGCTAATACAGATGAACAAAAGTCACAGATTATCTCCACATTTTATATGAGTCGAAACTTCTTTAGTTATGGAAGCTGATAATCAGTGAAATAGTTATCCTAATTAGTGCCCCCAACTCTAATCTGCAGTTTGCTTAATAAACAGTCAATTTTCTGAAAAGAGCCTCCTAGGGAAAGGAAAGGCCTGACCAGCTCAGTGAGCATTCTAGACTAGGCTCAAAGGAATCCATCCTCTTGTTAAAAGGTCTTGATGTTGAGAGCCCTGATTTCTACTTGCTAACTTTGGACAATATTTGGAACAGTCATTTCCCTCAGTTTACTCTCTATTTTGAAGCTTGGATAATAACGATCAGACTTGTTGGCATCTGAATTCTTGCTACATCAAGTTGCAGAATAAAACTTACATCAGGAGAGAAAGCATTAAAGATGCGTATTTCTTTCGGAGTTCCCTCTTCACTCTCAAAGTACTCTTTAAAAGTAGCTGCCTTACATATTATTAGGAAACCTATTGTTAGGAGTGCTTTATTTTTCATTTGGTTTGGGTTATAATTTTTACACAAAACAGGCATTATATCTTAGCTGAGAAATCTTGATAAAACTAATTTTTGAAATAATCTTTTAAAGGTCTTGTGGCATGGATTAAATTTAGGAATAAAGATAAACAACAAAGTTAAGCTGAATTTCTGAAAAACACCTGCATGTACCACATCACATGTAAATTTTCTGTGGGTTTCATAAGCATTCGCACCTGTGACGGATCTGCAGTTCCTTTGAATGTTGATGTTAGGTTTTCCTTCTCTTGAGGAAAACAAAACACCTATGTTTTAGGCACACATAACAGCAAGGTACATTTTGACTAAAGATTCTTCATTAAAACTCATTAAATGTGATCTTTCTGAGGAGTTAGATGGAATAAGATAGAAAAAATAATTTTTTTCATGTGACCCACGTGCTAGTACATGTGATTAATGATGAATCTCAGGGGCAAGGGTGAACTGCAAATTTTGTATTTGGGAAATGTTTATGACCAAGGTACGCGGTCACACTCTGGGAAGTATCAAAGGAGGAAAATCACTCTGATTTAAATAAAATGTATTCAGTTTGTTTTCAGCTACAGCTTCTCATTAAGTTTTTATATTCTTCATTGATCAAACTGTTTGAGCTTCCATCATTGGCCAGTTCCTAGTGGGCACTAGTGGGAGGGAGAGGATGGGACACAGATGGATAAGATCTGCCTGTGCTCCACGGGCTTCCAGCCTGGTGAGCCTGACAGGCACCTTGACAGAGGAATGATGAACTGGAGGAACACGGTGGGCAGGTGGGCAAGAGATGGGCTCTGAGTGGGGAAAGTGGTTGACAGGTGACTGGCGACAGCTTCCTACGTGCCGTCTTTGCTGGCTTTGACTCCATCAAAGCACTTTTATTTAATGTTAAATAAGTTGTCAGCTGATGGCAGAGAAACAGGTCTGAATAGGATAAGTCACTTGTCACAGATAGAGCTAGTAAGTGGCTGAGCCAGCCCCGGAACCCCTGGTCTTCAGGTTGGAGGTTTTGTAGTGTCTGGGAGGATACTCTTATGTTGGTCTTTAAGAAGTGCCAGAGATGGTGTGTTGCAACTTTTTACGGGAAAATTCTAACGGAGACAGGCAAGTTTCACAGAAAAGCTAATTTTGGAGTAATCCTATTCCAAGAAGTTAGCTTTCATTTCAGGGGCAGTGCTTTGCTTTGATGTACTATTTTTATTGAACTATTATATTTCAGCAGTTTCAACCTTTTATCCTAAAGTGGCAAGGAGGGGAAGCGGAGAGCTATGGTATTTGAACCTGAATGTGTGCCAGGCACTATTTGGGTTTTTGCATTATTATCTCATGTCACCTTTATGGTGTTTGTTCTCTTTTTTTTTTTTTTTTTTTTTTTTTTTTTTTTTT